CAAGGTCTTGACCATGATGGTCGATGAGAGCCGGAGGAATCGACCACCAGTTGTACCTTAGGCTTACCCTGATAAGGAGCCAAGGGCTTTGTTACCGACTGAGAAGTCATTGTGCCTTGAGCTTATCTTGATGAGGAGTCAAGGTCTTGACCATGATGGTCGATGAGAGCTTGAGAAATCGATCACCAGTTGTGCCTTGGGCTTGCCCTGGTAAGGAGCCAATGGCTTTGTTACCGACTGAGAAGTCGCTGTGCCTTGGGCTTATCCTGATGAGGAGCTAAGGTCTTGATATTCGACTGAGAAGTCGTTGTACCTTGGGCTTATCCCGATGAGGAGCTAAGGTCTTGATGATCGACTGAGAAGTCGTTGTGCCTTGGGCTTATCCTGATGAGGAGCCAATGTCTTGACCACGATGGTCGATGAGAGTCGGAGGAATCGACCACCAGCTGTGCCTTGGGCTTACCTTGATAAGGAGTCAAGGGCTTTGTTGCCAACTAAGAAGTCGTTGTGCCTTGGGCTTATCCTGATGAGGAGCCAATTTCTTGATATTCGACTGAGAAGTCGTTGTGCCTTGGACTTATCCTGATGAGGAGCCAAGGTCTTGGTGACCGACTGAGAAGTCGTTGTCCTTGGGCTTATTCTAATGAGGAGCCCAGGGCTTGGTTGTCGACTGAGAAGTCATTGTACCTTGGGCTTATCATGATGAGGAGCCAAAGTCTTGACCATGATGGTCGATGAGAGCTGGAGGAATCGACCACCAGTTGTGCCTTGGGCTTACCCTGATAAGGAGCCAAGAACTTTGTTGCCGACTGAGAAGTCATTGTGCCTTGGGCTTATCCTGATGAGGAGCCAAGGTTTTGATATTCGACTGAGAAGTCGAATGCCTAGAACCCTTAATAGTTGGCCAGGTCTTTGATGTTTTTTTTTTAACTTTCATTGATTGTTGAAATTTGTACATCATGGAGCGCAACTTATCAACATTTAACGTCCTAATGGTGTCGAATTCTTGTTTTCTGCTCATATGTATTTTGAAGGTTGCCTTTTGCAGGAGACAAGGCCACCGAAACATAGCTTTCTTGGTTGTTTCTTGTCATCTTTGAACATTCCTGTTTTGACGAGGGCGAGTCGCAGCTTTATTGACCATCTTCGTTGTTGTGTGACTTAGGACACTTAGTCGCCAGTCGTTGAATGTCCAGAGTCGGATGTTGCTCTCTCCTTTGAGGGCGAGCTGTTTGGCTTTAGACGTCACTAGGTTGTCGACATATTTTCCATCTCATCGGTCAGGACCTTTCTGAACTTGAGTCTTTGTTGAGGTCTTTGCAAGCCGACAGTGGATGTACTGATTTTCAACAGATATTGCTTCACCACCGTTGGTTGCCATGTATGGCTAGTGTCCTATTGATTGAGCCTTCGAAGGCTGGTGTTTTAATAGAAGGAGGCTAGACAACTTTTGTGATGGGGCTTCTTATTGGTGAAACCCCAGACGCTGGTGCTTTGTTTCTTGGAATTTGATAGGATCATAGTTTCCCCTTGGGGATTCCAGGAATAGCAACGACTGGACCATCCTGTGAATGGATGAACCTTCTTATAGGGAGAGTGCGAGTCGCATGCTTCGACCACTAGTGCTTGCTTCAGCTTTGGTGGTTCAAACTTCTGCCGGGGGGCCATAGCTGGATTTCTCGATGAGGTAATTATCAGGTGGCCCTCCGAGTTTTTCCCGTCATCTCATCCTTAGCAAGTAAGAACTCTCCTCTGAAGGTGGTGATGGTCTGAGGATCCTGTCACAGACTTAATCGCTGCTCCTGAGCTCGAATAAACTATCCCCGATGGGAGCTTAAGTGATATTGGATCTGATCATAACCCTTGTTAGAGGCGGTGTTTTTTTTTATGATCCGACTCCAAGCTCCTTGGCTGTCCAGGAGGTAGAGTTCGTTTGTGGCGACGATAAGAAGCCTGCGCTTCATTTTCAAGCTAGACAAGCACCATAGTGGTGTGTCTTCTCTAGGAGGGCTCTCAGGGTTCTGATAGCGGGTCCATCTTTTGGTGGATGGTCTGCTTAGCAAATACTCCCCAGAAAGCTGTTAAAGCCCTTGAGAGCTACACCTGTGTTGGCTCCTCATGGCCGTAGGCTAATCCTCCTTATCCTGAATGATACGATTCCAGGCTTTGTTTAGCTTGAATGGTGCGATTTCAGTAATGTTTCTTCAAAAATGAATAAGATCAGGCCCTTGCTTAAAATTGGGCATGTCTTCTTAGAGAAGAAAGTGGGCCCGCGGTAGGCGTCAAACTGCTGATGTTCAATATCACACAGCCAATGAGAGCTATCCGCTGATGGATGCAGCTCAGATCTTCGCACTGATGACGAAGAGTGAGAGGATGAGAGATGAGAGATGAGGCCAACTCCTCCGACTTTATGCCTGATTCTTAGAGCTCGGGACTGACGGATGACCTGCACACGCAAGAATCATAAGAGGGCGGGGCTTGTTTCCCCCGTGGTACCTCCGACGGTCAAGTCAGCCGGTGAGCTTGAGTGTGGTTTTTGGGAGAGTCCCGGGGCCATAGAGGTATTTGTAGGCGGTACTCTCTTTGAGTTATTAGTAAAAAAAAAGATCAAGAGGGAGAAATGATCCCCGGAGTTTAATGAAGATCCACCCTCCTTTTCTTACCCTGCTTCTCTCCTTTTATATTCAATCACCTTTGAGACACTGACCTTTGGCTCTGACTATGCACAGGAGGACGGTTGGGAAGTGAGCGGACAGGCTGCTGAGTCATCATTCGCTTTACACGGCTTGCGACTGGAAGGGAAGTCATTCGAGCATAGGAGGGGATGTCTCCACTATGTCCCGGATTTGACAGATGAGGCATGGCGGAAGATAAGCTGGCTGCTTAGTCGCTCTTCCTTCTACAGATGTCGGATAGTGACTAGAAGAGAGGTCATTCGAGCACAGGAGATGATATCTTAGTAATATCTGGGGAGTGACTTGTGAGCTAGAGAAAGCTGTGTATGCACGAGATTTGTCAGGGTTAAGATCTTGATGGGATCGATCAGTACTGTAGTGTTGATTGATGTATATCTGAAGGGAGCTTAGTTGGATCTTATCCCCTTAGCAGAGACGGGTCGGTTTTTTGAATCGTCCCCATGACTTGCCGATCAGACAGTCGAGTGAGCCTCTGGCTGAGTAGACAATCGAGTAGATGGTCGAGCCGACTATTTGAGGAGTTGTCTCGATTATGAGGCGGGGGGGGGGTTGAGGAGTCGTCTTGATTATGAGGGGTCGACTGATCCCGCGCTTCGCGTCGGTAAAGATGACTCGTCGCTCGGCGGGTCAATAGATTTGTTCTTGGCTGGGCTTTGAGTCTCTAAGATGGCTTGGGTCATAGCTCTTTTGGGTCTATGAAAACAGTTTCTCGATATTTTTATTTTTAGATTGCGAATCACCATAACAACTTCCAAGCAAAAGCAGCCCAACCAAACAGCCACTCACCGCCACATCTTTACAGCGTTTTGAGTAGAGACGGTTTCTTGGTAACAATCTCGACTAACCGTAGGTTGACATGCATATTTCTTATATTCACTGATTTGCCCTTGTAAGAACATGGAAAAGTAAAATAGGGATTCGATGGTGAGGTGAGAGCTTCCAGCTTGAAGCTATAGGTTTCTATGACGCATCCAAGGAAGCGACATCGGAGGGACCAACGCTCTTGACAAGTGCAAGAGAAGGACGAATGAGTTCTTTTTTTTTGCCTCCTTGTGTACTGCGTCAGCAAGATCAACAGATGATGCCCTCCTCTCATCATCTTCCACGTGCCAAGGTGATTCATCGATTTACAACGCATCAACAACAATAGGATTGTGTCCGAGGCGCATAAAAGATATTATTCATTTACATATCATAATCATGTTTATGAGAACGATTGAGGATGAAATTGAAATCCCTTCTCTTAGGCGTACATTTGTTCACAACTTTCATTGTTTGCAAACTTGCTCTTAGTATAATAAAAAGAGTCTGGGGGTGTGTTTGGCAACTTAGAAACTAACCGAGTTTAGTTTTGATCCGGTTTCACATAGTCTTGATTTAGCTAAACTAGTTTTTACGTGTGCTAGTTTTGAGGTGAACCAAGTTAGGCTAACTTTTAAAGAAAGCTAGTTTAGAACTATTTATTGTTTGGTAAGCAGATATATATGTAGGGCAATCTTGATACTTTACTTATTTTTCCTTCTTTTTTTTTTCCGTTGATTTTGAGGCCGGAGTTAGCCGGTTCTTTTTCATATCAATGAGTATTGGTTTAACTCTAAACTAGAGCTAAATACTTGGGCCAAATTCGTTCCACTTAAAACCCATTTTATTTATTTGCCAAAGGTTAGCTACAACACCTCCAAACTTCGGCGTGGTTAGCTAAGACGCCTCAAAATAACCCAGTTTTTTCTCTTGAATTAAATTAAACTAGTGTGCGCCTCGTGCTTCGCACGACCTTTCCTTTTTTTTATCACTACAGTAATCCTATTTTTTAATTGCTACAACATTTTTAAAATGTCACAAATTTTTTTTCTTAAATTGCTGCAGTAATATTTTTTAAAACATTACCGTCTCCCATCTCTGCTACAATAATATATTTTAAAATACAACAATAATATTTTTTAATACTGCTGTAGTATTCGCCTATGTTACAATAAATTTTTTACTATAATATTTACTGTAGTATAAATAGTGATTCTTGGGTGCTCCAGGGATAGATTAGTTTAGTCTCTGAAGCCCTGAGAGCGGTGATCTGCAACACTCCACAAAAGTCACGGGGTTTTCCGAAAACTGACCCTATGAAAACCACCAGCAAATATTGACGGCGTTACTTGACGGAGCTAAGTCAACGGCGCGATTAGTTAAAAGCGCTCCTCTTTTACCGCTGGCGTTACCTACACTTTGCTTTTATCCTCTCTCCTAAACTGGATTTAATGAAGTTTTGAGATCCGCCATCTTTTTGTTTCTTCTTTTTTCTTTAGAGAGAGAGAGAGAGAGAGTGTGTGTGTCGTTTTTTAGAGAGAGGGAGAGAGAGAGAGAGAAAGTGGAAGGATCCTCGAATTCTTGTGCTTCGATGAGAAAGGGATTTCGATCTCGACGCGTGTAAGGTGAGCGAGATCTCTCTATTTTCCTTTTGAATCGATTCTCCCCCCTTTTCTTGGTTTTTTTTGACGGAGATATGTGAATTCAGTCGTTATATCGCTAGGGTTTTAGAATTGATCAGTATAATGTGGCGATAAATGATGAATTAAGCTTCCATACTTTTTTTTTAGAATTTAGAGAGATTAATGAATAGGGGGCGATGCTTTTTTCCCCTATTTTTTTGTTCAAAAGGTTTGAACTTGCAATCTTCTGTGTAATAAGTTCTTTCTATTAGTGGAATTTTGGGGATCTCTTGCGACTTAAATTGAAAAAAGCGATTTTCGAAAACATTGAGAATGAGTTTTGTTTGTATTATTCGGGTTTTCCAAAGCTTCGATTTGATTATTTGCAAGAAAAAGATAATTTTTCCTGCTTAGTCGTTTGCCATCCTTTTCTTATATGTTTATTAATTATTATTATTTTATTTTTGCGAAAAATATCACTTTTGTGCGACCAGCTTTTGTTAAAATTGAATCCCTCTCTTTTTAGTCTTTATTTTCCCTTTTTTTACCATTAAACGAACATTTATGCTTATTTTAAGGTAGCCTTATCATGAAAAATATGATATTTATGATACTTCCTCTCTGAAGCACACGAGTTGGCTTTTTGGGGAGAGGGTATGAACTTCGAAAACGTTGATCCCGATGAGTTTAACTTAGCCCTTCAGGAATCTGTAATGATTTCTATGTGCAAGCTTGGCAACTAGTAATTATGTGTGTGATCGCAATTGATTCCAATTTATTATCTTTGGACTGGCTTATAACCAATTGGGCTAATCTATTTGTGCTCAAGTTGGGACTAATTTAATTTGCTGTTGTTGCAAAGCATTATTTTGAAATTTTAATTATTTGGGATCAAGTCCATAGTATTGGTTTGGGCATATTTTATGCGTATGAATTGGTTGTCATCTTGCTGTTTGCTTACAAATTGCAGCTTCACAATGGTATTCCCTC